TAAAGTTTATCTGCATTAATTATGACATGTAGAAAATATATGCCTTATTGAATGTTTTCCTTCAATCTGTTCTTTTTACAGCTAGCATATTTTTCAAAAGTATTACTAACTATTCGTATCTAATATATTTAAAGAGAATGGTAAAAATTATTTGGGAAAAGTTATTATATAGATAAATAATTTTAATTCTATTTTTTTCCCAACAAGGTTACTCCCAAATATGCCTCAAAAGTCAGCTAACTAGGGCTGGAGTGTAGCTGAGGGGCAGGGTGCTTACCTAGCATTCCTGAGGCAGTGGTTCAATCCATAGCAGGGGGATATGGTCCGCTGTCTATAATGTTCTCAATGTAACAATAAGAAAAAAAATTGAAGATAATTTCAGCATACTGGTAATTGAAAAACTTGAATAAAAGGGATAAACACATTTCTAAGTTTTGTTTTTGTAATGCTGGGGGTTGAATTCCAGGCCTCTAACATATTAGGCAAGCACTAGACCACTGGGCAACATCCCCAGCTCTTTTTTAAAATTTTGAGACAGGGTCTCACTAAATTACCCAGGGCTAACCTTGAACTTGTGATCTTCCTGTCTCAGCCATCCAAGTAGCTGGGGTTACAGGCATGCAGCACTACAAGGAACCACATTCCTACTTTTTTTTTTTTTTTAATGAAATGATATAACAAGTGTATTTGAGCTTTTGCAAAGGATAACCTTATCAATTTGCTGTTTATATAACAAGTATATTTGAGCTTTTGCAAAGGATAACCTTATCAATTTGCTGTTTTCTGAGTGTTCAAGTCCACCAAATTTGTTAAGCAAAATTTGTGGACAAAAGCAAATGATATGGTAAATATTTTTTCTTTCCCAGTTCTCAAAATTAAGAACATTTGTGTAGTGAGTACTAGTGGTAAAGTAAACAGGACTTTGTGCCTTACATGTTTATGAAAGATGTTGAATACAAAAAATAAATAAGAGAAATAGTCTTAAATGGATAAATTTTGGAGAGCTCTCTTTCTGCCTATTTTTAAAACAATGTAAAATTATATAAACAAAATCAAGAGTTTTCAGATTTGTCTGGGAAAAAAAGTTATCACAATGGAACCAGGCAATATTTGAAAAGAAGAAAAGTGCCCACTGTTCTTTAGAGTGGAATTAAGAAATTTTGTTTCATCGTGTACATATTTTCCATCTCCAGTGATTACACTTTATTTAGAATAAAAGATTGGTAATAATTCTAGTCATAAAGAACTAGTTCTGTTATTTCCAGACAGAGTTACAAGATTTTTAAAATTGGTAATAGTTTATGCATTAAAGACTAGTTCAAAATAAAATGATAGTGTCATACAAATTTGATAATTTTTGTTCTCATTTCATTGTGTAACCATAATAGTTTCTTAAACACAACACTACTGACATTTGGGCTGGGTACTGTTTGTTATTGGGAGCTGTACTGTGCATTTCAAGATTTTTAGAAACATCTCTGGCCTTTACCACAAGTTTCCAGTAGTAATCCCCAGTTATGAAACAAAAATGTCTCTAGACATTGCCAAGTGCCCCTCTCTCCAGGAGGCAAAATTGACTCCATTTGAGATTCATTTACTGAAATTGTTATCATGCTTTTTAGGAGCATAATTTGGAAAAAGGAATATTAGTAACTAGGCACAAAATCAGAATAAAAAAGCTTCTAGGCAATAAATTTGGATAGTTCAGCACACAAAAAAAATATCAGACTGCATATCTTAATCAAAGACTAGATTGTCTAGGCAATTGGTATAGAACACATCACTAGTAACATTTTAGCAGGTGCCACACAGGGAAAATAAAATTACTTAATAATTACAGGTGTAATTTACAGCTGTTTCATTAATCATTATTTTAAAACATAAGGATCTACAGATATTTAAGGACACATGAAGGTCTTTTATACTATTTTGTGTTTCCCCCAAATCACAGCAGTTTTCCATGGCATGCTGAAATAAAAATGTGTTTGAGTATTTTTGTCATTTTGTCTACAACAGGCGATGCCCAGTGCCCTGCTGGGAATATCATTAATCTAACTTCCTCTACAAAATTTTTGGCATTTGTATCATGACAGGCACTCCTCAGGCAAGTCAGCTCATGGGTGTCCTTCAGTTTAAACATGTGCCAGAGGAAGTAGAGAAATACAGCTTGATGAGAGAGAAGCAAAATATTTAAATAGGAACACAGAACCATTATCACACCTAACAAATTAATCTCTTACAACCAGAGAAATGAAGAGTTGTGCTCTATTTGTGTACAATGAATCAAAATGCATTCTGCTTCATATATACCTAATTAGAACAAATAAATAAATACATAGGAAAGAAAAAAATCTCTTTCTAGCACAAGTATCTTGTCATTCTTCAAATTTCAATTGTTTCACAAATGTCATTTTCTTTTTTTTTAAAATACCTTTATTTTATTGTTATGTTGTGCTGAGGATCACACCCAGTGCCTCACACATGCTAGGCGAGCACTCTACCTCTGAGCCACAACCCCAGCCCCTCATTTTCTTTTTTAAACAGTTCTCCCCCCTCCCCTGGGGTGCTGGGAAATTGATTCTCAGTCTTCATTTGAATCAGGACTCCAAAAAGAGTCACACTTTTTTTTAATTTGATATATTTCTCAAATATTTTCTAATCTTTAGGCTTCTCCTCCTTCCTTCCCTATCCCTCCTACCCCTTATAATTTATTTGTTGAAGAAACTGTGTTGTTTATATTACAGCATTTCCCACAGCCTGGAGTTTGCCTGGTAGTGTCACTTGTGTTCCTCTGTCTGCCTCCACTGTTTCCTGTACACTGGCAGTTGCAGCTAAAGAAAGGCTTGATCAGATTCAAGATTCAGTTTTCTTTTTGGCAAGTCTAAAAACAAGGCAATCGCCAATGGGCAGCATTGTTGGTCTCTTGCTTAGTGACTTGAAAATTGATTTAGGTGACATTCACTGAGTTTTTACTGTGTACACAACAAGGTGCTTATGTTCTCTGGGCATTATTTAATCTTATTTAATCATAAAACTTATTTAATCATAATACCATGCCAATTTTTGTCTTATGAATAGACCTCTTCTTAGAGCCAAGTAATCTTGTGTGTGTGTGTGTGTGTGTGAGTGATACTGCAAACTGAACCCAGGGGTGCTCTACCCTGAGCTACATTCCCAGTCCTTTTTTTTTTAATATTTATTTTTTAGTTATCAGTGGACACAATGTCTTTATTTTATTTTATGTGGTGCTGAGGTTCAAACCCAGTGCCTCCCACATGCTAGGCGAGTGCTCTACCTCTGAGCCACAACCCCAGCCCATTCAGTCCTTTTTATTTTATATTTTAGACAAGGTATCACTTAGTTGCCAAGGCTAGCCTCAAATTTGTAATCTTCCTGCCTCAGGCTCTGGAGTAGCTGGGATTACAGGCATGCACTACCACACCTGGTCTTTAGATGTCTTTTACATAGCCCATTGTTATTTATGTGACTTAATGTGAAATTCTACCTAAATTGTTTATTTTTTTTTAAACTGGATTCACTTGGAGTTATATAAAAATGTTTTGCATTAAAGGCCCTTTAAATTTTTAATGATAAAGTCCAAAGACCCACCATGTAACTGAATTCATTATACTCCAGCTCTGGGGACTGTGATTCACCATCTGTTAACCTCACAAAGATAGATAGCTAAACCACAAATAGGGGCCCACAGAATTCGGTATTTCCTGAGTCGATTTTTCCTTTGCAGCCATTGTCTTCTGCAGGTGCACTTATGGCTCTTTCATCTCTTTGCTTTCTTTGCGAGCTCACAGTGCTCACAGTGTCCTACTGTTTTCTAGTGTGAGAAACTGGCTCGTGATTGTAAAAGCAAAACTAGCTTTTCATTGTTTGTTTACGTATCTTTAATTCATTCTGCTCAAACTCTCTCCATAATCCTCAGTTCTACTGTCTATAAAATCAGACTATTGGAGCTCCAGGCTCCAAAACTAATGCCAAATTGTTGACCAACTATCGCTTTTGAAGATTAAATTGTTTGATGGGTGGTTGATGGAGAAAAGGCACCAACTGGCCCAAGCTGCAGTTAGATATCAGAGCACTGGTAGCCAAACAATGCAAAGAAGATCCCATTGTGTGGCTTTACAAGTTGACATACAAGGAGTGATTTACTCTTGATATATCTTGATCCTTCTTCTCCGTTTATTTCTCTTTTCATGGTTAAAACATTCTCCTCAGTTTTCAGAATGTCTACTGAAAAGAAACATTTGGTTGGTTGAATAAAAGGGCCCAAAAGCCCTGGTGAATGCAATAGGGAAATAGGAAAGCCTGTGGATTTTGATTTCTTATTCTGGTTGTCACTATGAGACATTAGACAAATAACCATTCTTGGTTCTTATTTCTTGTAAAGATATTTTTATCGTGATTATTCACACTTTTAAAAATCCTTATCCAAGGGGCTGGGGTTGTGGCTCAGGGGTAGAGTGCTCACCTAGCACATCCAAGACCCTGGGTTCGATTCTCAGCACCACATAAAAATTAATAAAATAAAGGTATTGTGTCCATCTGCAACTAAAAAATAAATATTAAAAAAAAATCTTTATCTGAAGCAGTCTTTTGTATGCTCCTAGTAATGGGAATTGTATCTTTTTTGGGGGGTGGGGGGTGGGGGAGAAGCGTAACTGGGGATTGAACTTTTTACCTGATCTTACATTGGAGCATGGCACACGTGCTTGTGCTTAATAAGTAGCTTTTAATGATGGTGAAATTTGAAAGGTTATACTTCTTAAAGGATATTTTGTTCCCTTTTTCCTTGGCAGGACCAAGGAGCTTCTTTTTCTAAGACCAGTGCTGTTCCGATAGGGTGAAAGTGCACTTTGTTCTAAGATTGCCATATGAAAGCCTTAGAATATATACTGTGTGATTCCAAGGGGGGAAATCACATCCTAGGACAGTGAATGCTGAGTTGGTGCTGAATGAATGATCATTATGTATTCTTTTACTCACAGGCTCGCTTCTCATATGTGCGGATGAAATATCTTTTCTTTTCCTGGTTGGTGGTTTTTGTTGGAAGCTGGATTATATATGTGCAGTATTCTACCTATACAGAACTATGCAGAGGAAAGGATTGTAAGAAAATAATAGTAAGTATTTTTAATTTTTGAGCTTTCTGAAAGCCTCTTAATAACACACTAGATTTATTACTTATATTATTTATATTACTTATATACTAACAGTTGTTTTCAAAAATAAAAGTTAATTTGACATTAGAATTGTGCTAATGGGAAATAGGAAAATTTACTAAGCTTATTAATATGACCAAGCCAGGAATATTCCCCACTTTGAAAAATGCAGTATTCAGGGGTGGGGTTGTGGCTCAGGGGTAGAGTGCTTGCCTCAATTGTGTGAAGCCCTGGATTCAATTCTCAGCACCACATAAAAATAAATAAATTAAATTAAATTATATATATATATATATATATATATATATATGAAGAAAAATGCAGTATTTAGAAATCTAAATACATAATGTAGATAAGTTAGCATGGGAGCATCCTCATTTACAAAAAAGTATGTTTGCTTTTAGGCATGTTGGAAATTTAGTTTAATCTGATAGATTTTTCTTTTCTTTTTGTACTGGGAATTAAACCCAGGGACTTGTGCATGCTGAGCAAACACTTTATCACTGAGCTATATATATATCCCAGCCCTTTTTTAAAAATCTAAAACAAGGTCTTACTAAGTTGCCCAGGCTGGCCTCAAACTTGTGATCCTCCTGCCTGAGCCTCCCAAGAAGCTAGAACTACAAGCATGTGCCCCCATGCCCATCCAGATGTTTTTGTTTTTAATGTTTATAAAAGTATTATTTACATGCAGTCTTCCTGGAACATACCTTTTAAATAAATGAAGTTATTCTCAAGTTCCAAAATTTATCTAAAACATATATGTTTGTTATTTAATTTCTACCCTAGTGATTTGATATATCTCAGGAAAATCACTGTGAATCTTCAATTTCTTTTAGTGATTATTGCTTCCATAGCATTCATATATATATATATATATATATATATATATATATATATATATATATATATATATATATATATATATATATATAGTGTGTGTGTGTGTGTGTGTGTGGTGGTGGTGGTGGTGGTGGTGGTGGTGCTTGAACCCAAGGCCTTGTGCATGCAAGGCAAGCACTCTACCAACTGAGCTATATCCCTAGCCCACATTTACATTTTTTTTTAATTTTTTTTATTAGTTGCTCAAAACCACTTTTACATTTTAAATGTTTGAGTATTTCCAGTAAATTTAATTCCTTGCCTTCCACCAATAGCTTCTAATATAATAATATTAAAACACTTCATCTCAGAATTTAAAAAAAATTTTTTTTAGTTGTAGATGGACACAATATCTTTATTTTTACTTATTTATTTTTCATGTGGTGCTGAGGATCAAACCCAGGGCCTCACGGCAAGCACTCTACCACTGAGCTACAACCTCAGCCCTCAGAATTTTCTATATGTGTGTAAATATATAATATGTGTGTGTATAAATTTATATATATATATATATATATATATATATATATATATATATATATATATATATAAAAATTTTTTTGTGTAGGGTATTTTGTTTTTCTGATGCTGGGGCTCAAACCCGGTGCTTTGTGCATGCTGAGCAGGTACTGTACCATTGAGCCACACCCCATCCTATAGAATTATATTTCTAATAATAGTGATTTGGGGATTCCAATGATTAGATTACTAGATTCTATAGTTATTGAATGTGACTCTTTGCCCAGGCATTGGTGCTAGGTGTGTGCATATATTAGGGAACCTAAAACGTCTTTGACCTTACAGAACTTGTAGTTGAGCAGGGAAGAAAATGAGTGATCACAGTAAGATGAGAAATGTTATGATAGCAAGTGTTATGGCAACATAAGTCAGGGAGACCTGACACTTGCCAAGGTTCTAAAAAAAAGAAAATCAGTTTAACACCAGGCACTCTATCAGTCAGGATTAAAAAACTATTATTCAGGAATATTATAAATTTTTTAAGTAGGCAAGGCAGGAATTACTAATATAAGAAGCAGGGGAATTAATTAGTAAAGAGTTCCAAATCAATGTTCAAAGACATCAGGCCTATGTCCGTTTCAATTGGCCGTTCTGGATCCTTGAGGAATTTTAAGATAGGAAGAACCTCTGGAGCCAGCTGATGTACCAGGAATTTCATATGTTCATTAATCCTTAAAATAAGACTATGAAAAAACCCCAAGCCCATTTTACAAACAAGAAATATGACCCAGAGAGAGAGAAAATAATTTTCCCAAAATGATGGAGCCAGAATTTGATCCAATTCTGTTTCTATATAAAGTTATCACCCTTTCTCCTGCCCTATGTCAGAAAAAACTGACAAAGGAAGCTGTAGTCTAGATAAGCTAACACAAAACTCATCTGCCCACCTTCAGTGAAGGAGGAAGCAGGGATTATGCCATCATTTATAATAACATGCAAATTACCAAAATTCTAATATAAATAAAATTAAAACACTTCATCTCAGAATTTTTTTGTGTATGTACACACACACACACACACACACACATATTGTTTTCTATTGCTTATTTGAAATGTGTATTTCCCTTTTACTAGGCTACCTTTCTTGAACCAGGTACCTTTGGGCACATTAATAAGTATTCCAGGGCTGGGTATGTCTCAGTGTAGAGCACTTTCCTGATACTCATGAGGCCCTGGGTTCCATGCCTAGAACAAAAAAAAAAAGGTATTCCATGGATAAAATATTTCCTTGTCAGATATATTTAGAAACATAGGGCTAAACAAAAATAAATAGTTGGCTTTACTGACCACTTCCCAAGGTCTTTAATATAGTAATGTGTGTTAGGCTTCTCCAAGAGAAAGCAAATGCACTTGATTAGAAAAAAAAATATATCCCCACCACCACCTTTCCAGGAAGGCCTGTTAACGTCATCTGCTGATGTTAGAAATACTATTCTAAGGGAAAAAAAAAGAAATACTATTCCAAGAGATTAAGCCAAAATTAAATGAATATGATTGTGTTGATACAACATTTTATAAAATATAAGGCACATATTGGTACATATTCTGTCATGAATGAATTATAGTTGACGTGCCTCATTTTTTACTTTAATTTCCCTTTAATTTATAAGAAATGGAAACAGAGCCTAATTCTACCATAATTGGATGGTTATCTTATTGAAACTTGAAATTAATGAAAAAGCTTTCTAAGTCTAAAGTACTTTATTTTCCTGACTTTAAAAATATTTGTAGTTACTCTGCATTTGGGTTATGTCTTTAAAATCTACCATAACTGGTATTAAACTAAGGACAATAATAATAACCTAAGATAATCCTAATAGTGCATAGAAACTATGGACTTAGAACTAAAAAGCAAGCAGAAAAAAAATATTTCTAAAGTATATTTTAAAGCTGCAAAGAACTAACATGTTAGTGAGGAATTACATCAAGATCTGGGAGAGGATAAGATTCGAGAAAGGTAAGTTTAGTTTCTGTGACTGATTTTCCTGGAGATGTATGCTCTGAAACACACACCCTTATGAGGCTGGAAAATAAAAATCTAGTTCCAATCTAACCGAGGGTGGGAAACCTGGTTCACTGTATTTTAGAGACCCTGAAGGGCCAAACACCAGGAATAAAGGGGAACTGAAAGAATTTCAGAATGGTGAGCTGGCTTTTGTAACCTCTTTTACCCTGGAGTAATTTGCTAATTCTGGGCATGGGCAGTGATCTGAGAAGCAGAACTCAGAGTCATGCACGACATAAGGACATTTTCGTCAATGACAGACCACATATGTAATGTTATATGCCGTAGAGCCTAAGTGTGTAGTAGCAATAACATCTATGTTTGTGTAAGTACATTCTATGATATAAACATAATGATGAAATCACCTAATCATGCACTTCTCAGAAATATCCCAGTTATTAAGTGATGCACGACTGTACATACTACCAAAGAACCACTGCAGGGACAAGAAACTGGTAGAGCCTTTGTAGAAAACTGGGGCACCTCACTGTAAAAAAAATGGTTATCACATTGGGATATTTGCCAATTTCTGGGCTTCTTCAGAATTAGAGGCTAAAATTTCATTGAAAAGCAGAGTACATGTTTTGACGATCTCAGAGATTAGAGTTATAAACCTACTGGAGGAAGAAGCCCCAGTGAATGCCAGGCTCTCAGGTAAAAACCCCAGATGGCTATGTCCTTGGAATGGGAATGAGCCAAAAGTAGCTTGAGCTTTAACAGAGCAACAACTCAGCCTCAACTCAACACAGCACATAATTTTGTAAAGATTATCAGCTATCAGTACATCTGCCTTTAGAGGGAAGGGAAACCCTTTGAAGAGTCATTATTAAAAAGAAAAATTACAGGCAATGCCAAAAGACAAGATCATATGACCCCCAAATCAAGAAATTAACAAAGACACTAAATGCAGATCCACAGAAGGCTTGGATATTAGAGCCCCCCAAAAGGACTGCATGTTCATGTTCAATTAAATAGGAAAAATAGTGGGGGAAATAGAAAAAAAAATGAATATCCAAAGAAAGGGGCATGACAGGGAAGGCTGTACTCTGAGGGCAAGCTCCAAAAGGAACTTAACTGAGAGCTGGTTACTGCCTCAACTCCCAGCTGGTAAGGGTTTGAGTGCTTCAGGTCTGGAGGGGATTTGGGTGGTTTATCATGGCACCAACTATAATACGTTTAAACCCAAATATGTTGGTAATTAAATTAAATATAAATGGGCCAGATGTTTCGGTTGAAAGACAAAGACTTGTCAGGATATATTTTTAAAAATCAAAATATATTTACAGGAGATATATCTAAAATATAAAGATATTGAAAGTAAAAGAACAGGAAAACATTCATGTAAATATTCAAAGTGTAGGGCTGGAGTTGTAGCTCAGTGGTAGAGCGCTTGCCTAGCATGTGTGAGGCACTGGGTTCAGTTCTCAGCACCATATACAAATAAGTAAATTAAGTAAAGGTCCATCAACAACTGAAAAAAAAATGTAAAAAATATTCAAAGTATAACGGTATGTGTTATTTTATACAGCTTATGCCTGTTTTTGTTTTGTTTTGT